TTTCCTTTTTCCAGCCGTCAAATTCTTATCTTTTGATCTTGCGAGTGCCCAAACACGCTTTGCCTCAGCAATCAGCTCAGAATGTGGTTTGGCGGCTTTTCGGGACTGAGTCAATGCTTTTTGAGCAAGGTGAGATTCACGGGCAGATTGACCACTCGATGCTGAGGGCTCATCGACTTGCATAAGCTCGTCGGCTTGACCAGCATCGAGATCAGCCTCTGCGTCAAAGTTGTCGTCGGCTTCCTCTTCATCGGAATTGTCCGTATTTTCGCTAGCCTCTTCTTTGGAAGTAGCCACTGTAACTGGTTTACTGCGTTTTGCCGCCCTTTCTGTTGTGGCTTTGGCCTTTATTGTTTTGACTTTCTTCACTGGTGGCCCAGAGTGAAAACTGGACTTTGAATGAGCTTCGCGTACACGCTTTTTAGGGTTTGGAGCTGGCATGACAGGTCGTTTGCGAAAGAGAGATGAAGAAGCCAAGCAGAAACTTTTTTTAAAAAATGCCTGCCGTTTGAACATTAAGCGCTAAACGGTAAACGCCCAATACTGCACAACGCTCCTGTTCAATCTCGTTCATTACTGAGCTCTCATTGGTATCGTTCAAGCAACTGCAGAAGGTTAGGTGCTGCCAAGCGGAAGAAATGCACTTGAGTGGCTAATTTATTCATGACTTTTTAGCAGTGGTGCACAGCTGATAGTCTGTCTCTGTACTGGATCCAACCCAAGTACGGTTCGTCAGAATGCACGAGTGAACAATGAACTTCATGAGAAATCCAATTACGAGTCTGTCTCAGAGTATAGTGTTATATGGCTCAATCGATTTCTTGCTTTCCAAATTGCTTCAAAGCGAACGCCTCACCATACTTTGCACGCCAGATCTAGATGTCAGACGAGCGCAGAACACGAAAATTGAAAACGTTTCGCTCTTAATTCTGCTCAGAAATCATGAAAGCTCCAGTTCCCCGATTTCGCATTGACGATCCGGTCACGGTCCTAGTTGATTCTATGGCGGCTTTCCGGTGTGCATCTATTGATGTTGATGAGTACGGATTCCTTTTCAAGGATGGAAACAGATATAGCACGATCGATACGATGGCCCGAACCTAGCTCCATTGAGCAATGAATGGTGTGCCTCTCTCAGAATCAGCCACTTCAACGAACACGAGCCCGAGGTGTGGCTGAATGCAATGATTCTTTTTGGTCGGAATCTAACTCAAGGCTGTCTGTCAGACTTTCGCCCACTCCACATCAATCTCTTCCATCATGAGCAATGAAACTGGCTTAGCAATCTACACTGGCCCACCTGGGGACGACAACCCGCCCAGGAGAAAGAAGCCTAACAGACGAGTTTGGACTCACGATTTGGATCCATCAAAGAGGTGCACTTGTCTAACTGTTGGAATGAAGATATTGGGAGATTGATCCATTCAAACCTCCAGAACTGTCGGGGAGACAAGTTCAGCAGAGGAGATTGAGACTGGAAAATCAGAGGACCAGCCCAAAGAAGCATCCGATCGACAAAGGTAAATCGCTATCTGCGGTTATCCGCGGTATTATTGCTGATAATACCGCTCGTGGATCTTCAGCAAGGAATCAGCGCCATTGAACCCCGAACTCAACAGCCAGAATCCCAAGGACCTCACAGATAGTGGCATAAATTACTACTACAGATACAAACGTTCTCAAAACCCCAACGATCTTGACGATGCGATATTGCTTCTGGAAAAAGCAGTTACGCTGACTCCTCGCAACGAGCCTATGGACGCCTACAAGCGCCTCACAAATTTGGGAACTTGCCTTACCCTTCGCTTCAAGTCTAATCGAAATCTCTCCGACGTTGACAATGCGGCCAAAGTTCACCAGCAGGCCGCTTCTCATCTTCCGGACTGGCATCGCGCCAAGGGCGTCTGTTTCACAAACTTGGGTGCAGCCCTAGTCGCCCGTTATGCATTTTTGGGAGAGTTCTCCGATCTTGAGAAGGCAATGTCGGCCTACGAGACCGCACTAGCTTTACCCTTACACGACGATGATAAGGTGATGTGTCTTAACAACTTCTCCAATGCTCTCGGGTACAACTTTGAAAGACTGGGAAGGCTCGGTGATATCGATAAGGCCATTCTTCTCGTTGAACAGGCCGTCAAGCTATCTGAAAATAGCAAAAATGACCTCTCCACGTGTCTCGATAACTTGGGCGGTCAGCTCATGCGCCGGTTCAGCGCTTCTATGACCAAGTCCGATGACATTGACCGTGCGATTGAGGTGCAGAAGCAGGCGCTTTCTCTTCTCCCTGTAGGACACCTAAGCCGACCCCAGCGATTGACAAGTCTCGGTGTCTCGTATCAGAAAAGATTCTATTGGGGTGGCGAGGTAGCAGATATCGATGAGGCAGTTACTATGGCGGAGGATAGTGTCGCCTTGACCCCGAAAGTCGATCCTCTCAGGCCTGAGCGGCTTCATAATCTTGGTGCCGCACTTCACAGTCGTTTCAAGTACTTGAATAACATCGAGGACATTGAACGCTCTATTTCTAGTCATGAGCAGGCTATCTCCGGACTCCCACCTCAGCACCGTGACAGGCCGGCATTCTTGTACAACCTCGGAAATGCCTGGTTCTCCCGATTCGAGCATTTAGGCGAGCTCGAAGATGTCGATAAGGCAGTCGACTACCACAGGCAATCCATCAGTCTTGGCCCACAAGATGCACCCATCATTCCGAAACACCTTATCCACCTCGCCAACTCCCTTCAGCGTCGTTTCCAGCTTCGAGGACACCTCCCAGATATTAAAGAGGCTATTGAACTCGCCGAAAGATCGCTCCCGCTCACTTCGGTGAATCATGCATCCAGACCAGAGCATCTTAACACCCTGGCTATGTGTCTTGTAAACAGGTTTGAAGCAAACCGAGACAATCAAGATCTGGAGCGTGCTATCATTTTACTGGAAGAAGCAACTGATCTCATCCCAAAAGACCATACCCTCATCTCTCTGTACTTCAGTAATCTTGGAATGACCTATGCCTTTCGACGCGAGATATCGGAAGATGCGAACGATGCTGAGAGGGCCATTGATGCCTATCGCATTGCGGCTACTTCCTCAACAGGTAATACATCAAGGCGATTTCAAGCTGCAATTGAGTGGGCAAAGCTCATGGAACCCATACAAAAGCACGCTGCTCAACTGATTGATGCACATAGCATTGTGATCAACCTCATTCCAAGGGTTGTTTGGTTCGGAACAACGGTAGCAAAGCGCTACAAGGAGATTTTATCTATCGGGAATGTTGTGAGTGCCGCTGTAGCTGCTGCGATATCTCAGGGAAAGTATGATCTCGCGTTGGAGTGGCTAGAGCAAGGTCGCTCAATTGTCTGGGGACAGATCATGCAGCTACGCACCCCAGTAGATGATCTTCGTCTGGTTGCTCCAGAGCTCACTCAGAGGCTTTTGAACACCTCCAAAGGCCTCGAGGAGAGATCGACAAGTGGTGCTGAAATAGAGACAGAATCTATGATACGCCGGCGTGCGGCAGGTAAATGGGACTCTTTGATCGAAGAAGTCAGACAAATACCTAGCTTTGAAGGTTTCATGAAGCCCAGGACTATCAGTGATCTGGTGAAAGTTGCGCGATCAGGACCAGTAGCTGTCATTAACATCCATAGCACCAGATGTGATGCTCTGATAGTGCAGGAAGACACATCGTCCGTCAAACATATTGCTCTGCCATCTCTCTCCCGCCAGAAACTCGTATCTTTGTGGGAATCTTTTCGGAGTGTTCTTGAGAGTTCAGGAGCTCGCGCAATCCGGGTTTCTCAGCCTGAGGGAAAAAATGTTGGCACAGTACTCTCTGTGCTCTGGTCGCAAGTTGTAGAACCAATTCTGGATAATCTAGGCTATACCGTAGGTGAACTTTATTACAGCTACCTGAATTTTTTTCTAAGATACTCTTGTCTGTCACAGAAACTCAAACAGTCAACCACCCAAGAGCAGACTCGACTACCACACATTACGTGGTGCGCGACGGGTCCTCTGGCGTTTCTTCCTCTTCATGCTGCAGGCATATATGATAAAAATTCACAATCCAAGGCATTCCAATACGTCGTCTCATCATACACGCCCACACTTACTGCACTGCTTGATGTGAACGGCAGCAAGACTGGGAGCCCGAACACCGGAATCTTAGCCATTAGCCAGCCTCATACACCAGGACAAAGCCCTATTACATCTACGATCGAAGAGGTGGAGAAAATCAAGGCGTATGCAGATTTGGACCCAACAAAGTGGAAATGGTTTAACGACAAGGAGGCAACTACCGAAGCTGTTTTACATGCCATGGAAAATTATGGATGGGTCCATTTCGCATCTCATGCCACTCAATTTCTAGGTGATCCTCGGAAGAGTGCGTTCTATCTCTACGATGGAGTCCTCTCTCTCGGTGAAATTATGGCAAAATCATTTCGAAATGGAGAGTTTGCTTTCCTTTCTGCCTGTGAAACGGCCGCTGGTGATGGTGAGCTACCCGACGAGGCCATCCATCTAGCTGCAGGAATGATTATGGCCGGATATCAAAGTGTTATAGCGACGTTGTGGTCAGTAAAGGATGCGGATGCACCACTTGTTGCAGATGTGGTGTATTCAAAGCTTTTGAAAAAGGATAGAGGTAGTATTAATGGACAGGCTGCATTTGCCTTACATGAGGCGGTGGCATGCCTTCGCAAAGAAAGGGGAGAAAAGGCATTTGAGAGATGGGTGCCTTTTGTACATATGGGATGCTAGTGACGGTGAAAATTGCAGTCAAAGTTTTACAATGATACAGCTCCAGATGAATAATTCTTGAGGCACCGTACTAGTATGTTTCTCTAAAAAAAGTGAGAGCGTGTCGCCGGCCAAAGAACGAACCGATTCTCTTCCGTTTGCGATTACTTACAAATCATCTTTCCACGCATCTTGCTGTAATTTGTGGCTCCCGCCCGCCCGTCGGTTTTGAGATCCCATCAATTAAGCTTTAAGGCCTGGTAGTCTAGTAGTATGATGCTTCCTTCGGGTACAGGTGCAAAATAATTGCGATCCCATCGCGTTTGCGATATCACTGGAAGAGGTCCCGGGTTCAATTCCCGGCCAGGCCCTTGGGGTCTCATTCCGTCCTTAATTTTTTTTTGAGCCGCCTCGATGTAACCCTTTCCAGTTTCATTTGGGCCGAAAACCGAAAACCTCACATTTTGAACGATTTATTCCAACAATTATATAATACTACGAAAAGAACGACTGAGCACTACTATATCTACAGATTCCAGTAAAATAAAGTACGAGTGTAAGCTGTGAACGAGAACAAAAAATATCCTATACTGCAATCCACAGAATCCATTTTCCATATTATTAGTAATCTAAAGTCCAAAGCACGACGAAAACGACATGAAAGAGAGAGAGAGAGGGAGAGAGAACGGAGGAAAATGCAAATGCAAGACAAGATGTGCATGAATCTAGGTAGAGCGAAATGTTGAAGGTATATTAAAGTACATGAGATGCAAAAAAAAAAAAAATAACAAGTATGAAGAACAAGAATGCGAATGGTTGATTAAATATACATTGATGATGAACAAACCAGAGGGAAGACAAGAAAAAAAAAAAAGCAAGCAGTGGGGGCAAACTCGAGAGAAACGCAACAAAATCCGATAGCAGGAACAAGCCATTGAGCGATCAAACGTCCAAATCTACTAAATGCCTCTCATCCGACGGGTGCATCCACAAGAGGCTCCCTGGACTTCCGGGTGTTTCTGGGCTTCCTGTCCCTTCAATAGACGCACCATCATCGTAATGATCACCATTTGCCAACACTGAGCGCCTAACACTATGTCCTTTTGTCGAGATTGATAGATTTTGACTACGCTGGGCACCGAAGCCAAGATTCGCATGAACGGTGGGATCTGGGTCGTCCATATCCGAGCCCAAAGAGCCGTCGGATTCGGATATGATACTGTCACCTTCGGGATTGGCATGGTAGAATGAGGTGTTCCCAACTTGTTCATCGTATTCAAATTCTTCAGGGTCGAATTCGGAGGACGAGCGAGGTTGATGAAACGGAGGAGAGGAACGACCACCAGATAGAGACGAGGATAAAGATGACCGGTTGACGCGTTGAGAATGGGAATGGAGAGGAAGGCGGACGCTTGAGTGTCGCTGCGGTGATGCAGATAAAGAGGATTTAGAGGAGAGTGCACTAGACGAAGCTGAAAATAATATATGAATGAGGAACGAAGTCGGACAAGACGCCATTCAGAGGCACACACCTATGCCACCAATAGATCTCCGCCACTGATTTTCGCTTGCTGCAAGTTCTTTGCTTCCCAAACTCTCCTCCTCGATATCATTGGCAAATTCAGGGTCAGAAAAAGACATCGTTGACTTATCCCCCTCTTCGGTAACCTCGTTCATCAACATCGACATGTTTTCCGGAGGTAGAGGGAATATCGATGGTGGACGGGAGGATGAAGCTGAAGAGGGTGTGGGGGAAGAGGGTATAGGGGAATCGCTGCCATACGCCCCAGCCATGGGCTCCCCCTGTTGCTCCGTTTCCAGACCACCACTATCCTCACGCAGCTCTGGTTCTATATGCGAACCCAGAGCATCCGACCCAAACCGATCTGCCTTTTGCTCCCCTAACGCCACTGCCAGCGCCCCACTAGCCTCATTCAAAGCCTCCTCCAGCTGTTCAATCCTCCGCAACGCCTTCTCAGCCCGCGCTTCAGCCTCTGCTTCAATCCTTTCCTTCTCCCGCTGAATCTTCTCCTTTTCCTTCCTCAAGGTATACAACAGACTCTCACTCTCTTTGAACCGCATCGAGACTTGCTTAGCCCCAGCTTCAAGCTTCGCCTTTTCTCTCACCAGCGAACCCTTCTCCCCCTCCAACTCAGCCAGGGCCTCCCTAAACTGCGCATTCTCCCCTTCCAATTCCGCCAACGCAATCCCCAATTGCGCATTTTCCTGCTTCATCTCATCCCGCTCCCTTTCCGCCTCCTCCACCTTGACCTCCCACTCTATCCTTTCCCCTTCCAAAGTCGCCAGTTCCTTTCGTAATTGAGCATTCTCTTCCCTCAACACTTTTGCACTACGCTGAACATCCCCTAACGCAATGAGAAGAGCAGAATTCTCATTATAATGTTGTTCTTTGAGCAGCTGGATCTCGGCTTTAGGAGGTATCCCATTTCCATTTACGCTTGTACCCAAAACTACCGGAGTAGGTGAAGCGAGTGTGGTACTGGGAAGGTTCAGCGTAGACGAAGACGCTTGAGATTGAGCCTGGGTCTGTGATTGCTTGAGACTAAGGTATTCCCTAGTCGCTTGCGCTGCCGATGTACTCAGACTCGTAGGTGCCGTGGATATTGCGGAATGGACACTCCCCGACCGATCTCTGCTCAGACTTCCCAATGACCCAAGACTTCCACTTCTAGCCGAAACTCCCCCGGACATCGAATGAACTGATCCAGACAGAACGCTCACACTTCGTCCCACACTGGCACTCCTCCCGCCTGCGCTACGAATGGAACCAGAAAGGACCGAAGCTGACCTCGCCGACGCAGATCGCGGAAGAGGGGTCTGCATCTGCTGATGATATTGAGCATATGTCGGACTGGGACTGGAACTCTCGTTCGAATGAGCTCCAGGCGAATCGGGGTACGAAGGGATGGTATGAATACGATTGTATCGAGCACGTACGGGACTGGATGGCGCAGATGCGGAAAATGAGACGTTATGAGACGGGGAGCCTGGCGGAGCCATTGGATCAATATAGGACCCTGGATCGTTTGTCATTATCGTAGAGCCGCTATTTCCCAACAGCCCAGCGGCTTTGAATGCCTTAGCTGTACGAGGTCCCAGCCATTCTGTTATCGGTGGACGAGGTCTCCGAGGGTCTTTTGCACTCCAGGCTAATGCGTCACCCTCGCCAATTTCACTCGCTTGAGCGGAAGCGCCGAAATGTGAGAAGCTCCTAGTATGTGAAGAGTACTGATGCCGCCGAGCAAGAACATTTGGATCCCTCTGTCTGATTTCCCCTGCCCCGGAAAGTGAGGAAGTCAAGGAGCCTGGAAGCGCGCGAGCACTTGTACTGCCAACCCTGGAGGTAGACTCTCCTTCATCAACACTCATACTCCTTGTTCTCGTCCGTCTAGTTGATCGAGGGAGTGTCGACGACAAAGAAGTATAGGATGTCATGCTAGTTCCAGGTCGGGCAGGTAGTAACCTTGAAGTGGAAGCGGACGCTTCTGGCCTTCCGGATCCTGCTCTCGACGAACCTGCTGAGGGTGATATCGATGTAGAGACCAATGAAGAGTCTTCGACGGTCTCGATATACGGCGATTTTGTTAGCCCCAGGCTTCTGACTCGTAGACTCGAGTATGGCGTAGACGCATGTTGAGGATGTATATGTAACGAAGAGTGCGTCACCTTGGAAGCAGGGGGTGATGGAGTTGAAAATCCAGTAGTATCGCCTGTAATCCCGAAGGAAGGCGATGGCGAGGTGCTCAATGTCGCTGAGAAACTTTCCAAAGTAATCCCTTCCCCTCCGGAAACATCCCCAACCCTCGAGCTAGAAAAACTATTTGGACTGAGCAGTTTCGCAAGCGCCGGATCCACCTGTAGTGCATTTCTTACTTGAGCATTGATTTGTGATGGAGAACGCGGAAGATGGAGGGAAGAAGCAGATGCGGAGGCTGAGCGTGTAGGTAAAGGAAAAGGAGAATGCGAGGGGGAACGTGAAGGTAAAACAGAAGCAGATGTAAAAGCAGAGGGAGAGTCGGAAGGGGAAGGAGAGGTTTCGGTAGATGGATACACTCGACGCAAGGGGGAAGGGGGATTTGGTGCTGGGGACGGAGATGGAGACAGAGAAGGGGAATGAGTCTGAGACCGAGATGGGGGTTCATCGGAGTCTGTAGGCAAATCTGGAAGATGTTTGGATAGCGATCCGGCTAATGATAATGAAAGGTCGTGAAGGGCTGAGGCAGCAGATATACCCGAGGTGTCCGCTTCGACAATGGTTGACAGGTCTTGTACGGCCATTGTTTCATGTTCAGGGCTGGATGAAGCGTAGGAAGGGGAACGTGAACTTGGAGAGTGGGAATATGCGGATGAGTGAGATGGAAAGTTGGATATAGGTTGTAGGGAATCAAGCGATGAATCTATGTCTGAATCTAAGCAACGATGAGTAGCATCCCTCATTCAAGAATGGAAAAACTTGCCAGGCCTGATGTCCATTACAGCAATTTCTTGCCTGTAGTCTACCCCCTGGGACTTCCTCCCAAGACTTCCTGATTTGGCTTCTCTTCCAAAATCGCCCTTTCCGGGTTTTCTGCCCAGAGTCATTGAAGACATTGACCGACGAACAAGGTCTAAAGAAGAGGAGCTGGAAGCGTTCCCAGCAGCTTCAGGCCGAATAATTTCGTTCCTTCCATTACCGACTTCAGAATGCGGAGATAAACTCAAAGAGCCTCTCGAAGTAGAAGGTGAGCTCAGAGAATGACGTGAAGCTTGGGTGGGTAAATTTAAAGACGGACGAGGATTTGAGTTGAAAGAATTGGAAGAAGAAGGGAGGTTAAGGGACGGCCGAGAAGGTAATGAACCTGAGCCAGATTTCTTTGTGGACTGTTTCTGCTCCTGCTGCTGAGAATTTGACGGGGAAGACTTGGACTGTTGTGATTGCTGTGAGGAGGTTGGAGCGAAAAGGGTTCTGAGGGAGCGCAAAGTTGGGATACCAGTCCTAGTTGCATTTGAATTGACAGTGGCTGGGGCTTTGCCTTTATTCGAGGCCATCTGAATACAAGTTTAGATTGAAAACATAGTAAACTTGAGATATACACACGCTATTTCAAAGTCACAGTATCAAACTATGGCTTGTCTTCGAGTCCATTCACGTCTATGAATGGGTTCAACTTCACAGTTGGTTTCAAAGAAGCGATTTACTTTTGCGGAACCGTCGGCCCGGGCGTCTATTTTTGGCATCAATCTCTCCTAAATAAGCTAAGGCGCTATAGCCAAGTGGTTACGGCGACAGATTCGAATTATCTCTTATCTGTTCCTCTTTGAGGGCGCAGGTTCAAATCCTACTGGCGTCGTTGCAAGTCCGTTTCTTTTT